CTGGATGGCTACGGTATTTACAACCTCGCCTGGGCAGTTGCTCGGGCTTCCCACGCTGCCTATTTATCCAGGTCCAAGCAAAAAGCAAAGAGGGAAAGATATCATCGTCTCATCCTTCAGACATGGCAGGTATTTCGCTTTCTTTAGAAATCCTGAAGGTATGATTTCAGGTTTCAAAGACATTTTAGACAGTATGGGGAAGTTAAGCTTTCTATTTTCTTCTTCCATTTTATGAGATTACGGGGGCAGGAAATCCTCCACTCCATCTCCTTTTTGGTAATTCCTGGGCTGGATACCAAAGGTGCTTTTTCACGAGGCAACTGGACTTTCATGTTTCCCTTTGAAGATGTTTTACTTTTCATCCACGAAGCTTCTTCAGCTCTGACTGGATGGTGGGGAATGGAAAGATTTATATTCCTTGCAGATAGCTGGTCATTTGCATTTGCATTGGGGAAAGAAAACAACCATAAACGCATGGCACAACATAGGAGAACAAACCAATCAGGATAAGATTCAGCAATCCAACTGCATTTAAAAGACAAAGGCCACTCTTTCAAAGACAGCAAAGTCCACATTTTGGACAGAGAGGACTACTGGTTTGAAAGTTGGGTCAAAGAGTTCATCTACGCCAAAATTTAACAGCCCTCCCTCAATAGAAGGGGAGAGATACGACATCATCTATCTTCTGTCTACAACACATTCCTTTCAGCAGTTCAAAGATGGTTCCACACCCACTGGCACTACTCAGGTGAGGCACTACCCTGAGAACACTGGTAAACCTCCAATTAGCATCAACGACTCTCTAAAAGGATGCAAATGACTAGCTATCTGGAAGGAATATAAATCTTTCCATTCTCCATCATCCAGTCAGAACTGAAGAAGCTTCTTGGATGAGAAGTGAAACGATTTCAAAGAAAAACAAGGAAATCCAGTTGCCTCTGGATTTGGGATAACTATAGCCTGGATGACTGACAATCTCCATAGACATTCTTGGGCTGGAGTTACATATGGCATAGTATCAATCACTTGATTCTACTCCATCACTAAATCATTTTAAAAAAAATCATCTCACTCTGCAAAGCAAATTTTGGGGGCATCTAAAACATCTTAGAGGCAAGGAATGGCTGAAATTTGCCTTCTGTCTCTCTGACCACTCCCATCACTATGGAGAGCTTCATAGTAGAATCCAACTCTACTTGGAGAACATCCTTTGTCCCAAAGATACTCTTTCATGAGGCAACTATAGTTTCTTGTTTTTCTTTGAAGATGTTTTGCTTCTCATCCAAGATGCTTCTTCAACTCTGACTGGATGGTGGGGAATGGAAAGATTTATGCTCCTTGCAGACAGCTGGTCATTTGCATTCTTTTAGAACATGCATTTCAAACTCGCAACATCACATGACGTCGTGTGATGTATCGCAACTTTTTCCCCATTGTCAGCAATGGGGTGGGCATGGTTTCGGCATGACGCATCCGGCCTGCTGGCTGGCAGTTTGACATGCCTGTTTTAGAGAGTTGTTGAGGCCACTTGGAGGTTTATCCGTGTCCTCAAAGTCACCTGAATATTGCAAATGGGTGTGGAGCCTTCTTGGAACTGCTGAAAGGACTATGTTGTAGACTGGAGATAGATGATATTGTGTCCCTCCCCCTCAGTTGAGAGAAGGGTGTTCAGTTTTGACAAGGCCTCTTTGACCCTTCTTTCAGTGGTCCTTTCCATCCAAAATGTGGACTTCGCTGTCTTCAAAAGAATGGCTTTTGTCTTTTAAATGCAGATGGACTGTTGAATCTTGTTCTGATAACATGACCTGGATGATGGAGAATCTCCATAGACATTTAGAATATCCTTCGATTTCCTCTTCCTTCATGTTGTTGTTTTTTTCTGCCATTGTAGCTTCATCCTTTCCTGGGAGATTCCCACTTCTACAATAATTGCATGGATGGAGTGTATCTAGATGAGAAAGGGGAGCTTGCTGCCAAATTTGATGCCACAAACTGGGTGTTCTTTCCTAATAAGACCTTTGGGGCAGTGAAATTTGGGAGGATAAATAAACCACAGAGGTCCCAAGACTTGGAATTCATCCTTGACCAGGAGGCCATGAATTGGTCCCAGCTGTTTAACCAGGTTAGCTGAAGCTGCCCATCTAAAGCCCTCCAACCTTTCTTTCATTCTTTCACCCAGTTGTGAAGTGGATAGCAAGTTGCTGGAGCTGGAATGAAGGGTTGCTTGAGGTCTCCTTCTTTCTATTTTTTTTAAATATTTTATTAATTTTTGACAATAACAATCTTTAGTGCTTTGTGAACAGTATGTTGTCTGAGTTCATATATTTAAAACAATCAATGATATTTAATTTCTACAATTAATCAATATGTTGGTAATATATTTCTTGATCCTCTCTTCTTCCTGTAACATTCTCCTTTTGTCTACATTAAACAAATATAATTCTTAATATTTTCAGTACATACCAAGTTGAATATAAACACTAGTTTAGTATTTATGCATACAATAATAACTTATAGCATATTTTTTAATCAGCTTGTTTCCATTGTATTTATAAAAGTCATCTTGTTAAATTATATATCCTGTTTTCAAGATTCTTATTGAAGCTTAATTTCCCCTCAGTATTCAGACCACTTTTATCAGTCATAATCTTCTCAAAATTCATTATCTTTAAATAGCCAAACTTTTCATTTAAAACTCTCTCAATGTTTTAACATTTCATATATTCTAAAAGTATTATACTAGTTATATATCTTATTCCTCTTACTATAGGGCCCCTTTACAAGCTTATCTAGTCTTTTGGCCATATTCCTATAATATTTAATCCTATAATATACCATCTAACAATCTTTCTCTAGGGCTTCTTTATATCCAAACTTTATATAAATCATATTTACCATATTCAAACAAGTGCTTAGTCATATAATATTCCATCTGATAAGTTGAATCATGTCTTTTGACTCCAACTGTGATCTTCTTTTGCTAGGTCGCTTTCCAAATCAGTAACTTTGGCTTGCCAGGTTGTATTTTTGTAAATATTATTGGGGACAAAAAAGACAAATCAAGTAAAGTATCAGGTTTTTGTCTCCCACATTTTGATGATTCTTTTGACAGTTCTTTAATCCATTTTGTTTGTTCTTCTTTTTTATCCTCAAATTTGTTTTGACATCCTGGAGGATAAAGCATCTTTTTTGTCTTCTTTATTATACTAAGGTTTTGCAGATTTTTTTTTGTTTGTATTAAATTGTAGTTTTCTTCATTTGTAGTTTTTCTATTTGTCACTTTCATTTAATTTATATTCTGTTATCTGATTTGTTTGTTCATTCTTTGTTGTCATTTTTGAGTGTTATTTAGTTGTACGTTTAAGTTAGAGATATGTTTGTTTATACTATCAAACTTATTTCTAATCTCATCATGGTTTGAAACAATTATCGTTTGAATCTGTCACAGCATTGTGTATATTTTCTCCTGGAATGTATTTGTTTGGTCTTGAGTCATTGTTCCTGCAGTTGTTTAAAACTCCAAACTGGGGTCTTTAGGAAAAGGTGTTAGGTAAGGTTTTCTATTACTTTTAGATAGGTATATAATATCCATTTTATCTCTCCTCTCTAAGTAGTTTTCCATCGGTGTCATAATCTTTTTAATTAGCTTTGTCAAACTAAAATCCAAACAGCCAAATCTTACGTAGTTCTTATTTTTATATAATGATTTTATAATCCAGTACATTTCCAATTGTCAAGGGACCACTGAAAACAATATTTTGTGGCAGTTCTTCTTTTCAGGGATCTTGTAATTATCAGCCAGTCAGGATTCAGTTCAAAGTATTTGACCATCTAAACGTTTTCCAGTAATTTCTCCTTTAGAAGATTAGCCAAAGGCCAAGATTTTTCTTTCTTTGCAAATAGTTCTTAGATTAAGATTTATATATAATTTCATCAATGCTTTTTCAGGTATAGAGTTTTAACAATTTTTTTAGCTTTCAAATTTATCCAAACTGTGGTATTTTATGTTTTTATTCCCCATAAGGGTTTAATTCGCCGCTTCCTTCTATAGAAGGGTGAGATGTAATCCCCTCCCCTCTCACTTTGGGAGGCTTCTTGCTTCCTGGGGAACTTTTCCAGGAAATCAGATATAAAATAGGAGAGAGAAGATCAAATTCCTCACCCAGTTTCAAGCACTTTGTTCACCATTGTGTTGGTTAGTGCCTTTGGACTTTGGCTGCAAGTAGCTTGGGCTGATCAACAAAATGTAACCAGCCTTTCTCCTGTTGGGTTAGAAAGCTTTCCCCAAATCGAATAAAACAACTGCCATCATTTCAGAATTGTTGGGGCAGCCTTCTTTTCTTTGCCGCCTCTCCTGGGCGACTTAGAACCATTTAGGGTCCTCTGGCAGGGCGAAACTAGCCACGGGGTGAGGAGGTCCGCGATCCTGCGACCGGGCACCATGTGCACAAAAGCGGAAGTTTTGGGGTCTCCTTCTTTCTAAAAGATGTTGCTGGGCTCTTTGGATTAAAAAAGGGGGGGCTGGATCATTGGATGGGACCCTTTAGTCAAGAGGTATATCTGGGTTTATCCAGATTCAAATGCTAGTTGGATCTTCTTCCTTGTGTTCTTACTTTATAAAGCAAGCTATGATTGAACAATTGCTGTCAGCAGCTTGTGAACAAAACTGCCTTGGTTAGTTGTAGTTAAAACAGCAAAGTTAGGTGATTCCAAAGGTCAAGATGTAGAACCGAGAATTCTACTAACATTTAGCAATAGCAATAGCAGTAGCACTTAGGCTTATATAGCACTTCACAGTGCTTTCTGGCCCTAAGTGGTTTACAGAGTCAGTATCGTATCCCCAACAATCTGTCTCCTCATTTTACTGACCTTGGAAGGATGGATGGCTGAGTCAAGCTTGAGCCAATGAAAATCGAACTGCAGGCAGCTGGCAGTCAGCAGAAATAGCCTGAGCAGGGGGTTGGACTAGAAGACCTCCAACGTCCCTTCCAACTCTGTTATTCTATTCTGTTCCGTTCCTGTCCAGTCCAGTCCAATCCAGTCTAGTCTAGTCTGGCTTATCCTAAAAAAAACCCCAAAACAATCCAGCATAACCTCTTTCTTGACAGAAAGAGACACAGGGTACGGATGAGCAGACCTATTATGAACATGTCATGATGGTGTCCACCCCCAATCATCTCTGATTGATGCTGTTTCTTTTTTCCGTCAGTCCCTTCCCCGCTCCAGGTGTACCATAAATTGTCAGCCTGGCCAAGCCAAGGTGGTCTTAGAAGGAAGGTCTGTTTGCTGCTATGGGTGTATCTTGTGTGCAGAAGGAACCATCTCCACTCAGGAAGGTAGGAGACACACCAGGGGGAGAGGCAGGTCTTGGAATGATGGGGCAAGAAGCATTTCCATTCAAGGATATTTGGAAGCAAACTTGCAAGCCTTAAACAAAGAGCCTCATGGATGATGGCAGAAAGTATTAGGTAAACAGAGGAAAGCTAACAGATTTGGGTGCAGATCTCGAGAAAGGATGCCCAGTAGCACACCAGATAAATCTTTGAAAAAGGGATATGGTTGAGACATTGAAGTTCTCAATTGCCAGGATATGGATTTGTATACATTTGGGGATTAAGCTATCTGATGATATAGCTCTTAAGAAGCTCTTCACCTTCTTGGGACCTTCCTCTCCATTCCAGCCAGCTTATTTCTACTCCTGCCTTCACCAAGCCCTTTTTGTTAACATTGGCTATTTTCCTTCCTTATTTTTACTAGGGAGTTTACAAGGCATTTTTTTTTCCTTTACAGACCTGGATTTTGAGGAACAATATCTTAGCCATAACATTATTTATAGATAGTATTCAAAAGGAATGTTTTATTATGAGCATGTAAAATTAATATTTGAGGTCTTGCCTCTCTTTTCCCCAGATGCAGAGAAGTGTGCAAGATGTCCCCAAAATCATCATTCAAATAAAGGCCAAACCAAATGCATCCCCAAAAATATAACCTTCTTGTCATACACAGAAGACTTGGGAATGATTCTGACTTCCTTTGCCATCTTCTTATCTTTGGTCACTGCCTTCGTCTTAGCAATCTTCATCAAATTCTTAGAAACTCCCATAGTCAAGGCCAACAACCGGGACCTCTCCTACCTTCTCCTGGTCTCTCTCCTGTTGTCCTTCTTGACTTCCCTCCTTTTCATTGGTTGTCCAAGGGCAGCCACCTGCCTTCTCAGGCAAACATCCTTCAGCATCATCTTCTCCATTGCTGTCTCTTCTATCTTGGCCAAAACTATCATGGTGGTGCTGGCCTTCCTGGCCACAAAGCCTGGGAACGTGGTGAGGAGATGGCTGGGAAAGACTCTGGCCAACTTCATTGTCCTTTCTTGCTCTGGTCTCCAAGTTGTCATCTGCATCATCTGGCTGGAAGTTTCACCCCCGTTCCCTGAGTCTGACATGCACTCTCAGACTGAGCAGATTGTCCTGCAGTGCAATGAAGGTTCTGTCGCTATGTTTTATGTTGCCCTCAGCTATATGGGCTTCCTGGCTGCCATCTGCTTTGTGGTGGCTTTCCTAGCCAGGAACTTGCCTGGGGCCTTCAACGAAGCCAAGCTGATCACCTTTAGCATACTAGTCTTCTGCAGTGTTTGGGTCTCCTTTGTGCCCGCCTACCTGAGTACAAAGGGGAAATACATGGTGGCTGTGCAGGTCTTCTCCATCTTGGCCTCCAGTACTGGATTGTTGGGCTGTATCTTCATCCCCAAGTGCTACATTATTATTCTGAGGCCAGATCTGAATACAAAGGAGCATCTAACGGCAAACAGTAAAGATGGCTTGAAAGTGAATGCAAAATAACCTGACAATTCTCATAAATTTCTCGAAATCATTTGAGAACTTTGGTGATTTTGTTGGTAGCACTCTATGGCTTTCACCACTGGAGGAAGTGCATATGATCAAATGTCTCTAGAATTCTATTAGAACAGGTTTATCTGATTTTGCTCTCTTTTAAGGAAGATGGACAGTGACCAGAGCTTTGTCTTCTCACCCTCTGCCTAACAACTGATCTGATAATCCACTATGAAGGCAACATTAAAATGTTAAAATACTTTTCAAACATTAAATAAATACTTTTTCAAACATTAAAACTTAATTCATCTGAAAGCATTTTTACATGTTGATTGGATTTTAAGTTACAAATGTGTTGATATAGTTGTGGGAGAAAATTTAGGAAATTCTAATAGTTAAAAATGTAAATATGATGTTGAACGAACCCCCTTAAATATGGAAGGTGACATTTATGACAATCCTGTGACTCAGTCAGGAAAAGTATTTTATATACAATAGATGGAAAACATTTCCTTGCTTCTATGTTGTGATCAATTTTTAAAAAAATACCTTTATACAGGTAGTCCTCCATTTAAGACTGCAATTGAGACCAACATTTATGTTGCTGAGTGAGAAATTTTTTAAGTGAGTTTTGCCTCATTTTACAACTTTTCTTGCCACGTGTTAAGCTAATCACTGCAGTTGTTAAATTAATAACACTGTTAAGTGAGTCTGGCTTTTCCATTTACTTCGCTTGTCAGATGGTCGCAAAAGGAAATCACATGACCCTGGGACACTGCAACCATCATAAATGTGAACCAATTATCAAGCATCCAAATGTAAATCACATAACCATGGAGATGCTGCAATGGTCATAAGTATGAAGAGCAGTCATAAGTCACTTTTTCAGTGCCTTTATAACTTCGGTCACTAAATGAACTGCTGTAAGTCAAGGTCTACCTGTATTCCAAAAGTGAAAAGATGGAAGAATATGTTTCTATATGGTCTAGATGTAATAATAAATTGACGGAATAAATTAATGTTATATTAATAATATATGAAACTTATTTTTCCCTTTTTCCAAGTTTTTTCCTGCCTATATATTCAGTTTCTTTCAGTTATTATAAGGTATGCGTACTTTTTGTTTTATTGCAAAATGTCTGACTTATTATATTTTTCATTCTATGTGTTCGTTATATGTATGTGTATGTACATATGTGCATGTGTCTGTGGAGAGAGAGAGAGAGAGAGAGAGAGAGAGAGAGAGAGAGAGAGATAGGGGGAGAGGGAGAGAGAGATTTGATGTCCAGCACAGCAGTAATGAAACTTACGGAGTTGTTTTAGAAAAATAGCTTCTTAATTTGATTAATTTCCCTTCATATCTTGCATTTTTGTTGTCCTATCCATCACCCACTTTGGATTTTATGCTGATCATTTTTTCACATCAAATTCCACTTAGTAATCTGCTGAACAATACTCCTGTCTAACCACTTACAACTGGAAGGAGCTATTTTGTACCTCATCTTCTGAAAAGTACAGAAACCCATTGAAAGCTTTCCTGTTTAGAAACAGTTCTTCCTTAGAGGAGAACTACAAGTTGTCCTTGAGTTACCATCACTCATTCAGTAACCATTCCAAGTTATGACAGTGATGAATGGGGGGGGACTTACGACTAGTTGCGGCCAACACAGGGTCCCCACAATCAAGTGATTGCAATTTGGGCATTTGGCAACCAGCAATCAGATGTCCACAGAGATTCTCAGTAATCCAGGTCATGGTTGTCCCAAAGGTGCTTCTTTCAAAGGGCAAATGGACTTTATTTTGCTAGAATATGTTTTGCATGTCATCAAGAAGCTTCTTCAGTTCTGACTGAATGGTGGAGAATGGAAGGATTTAAATTCCTTGCAGTCATATAGTTATTGGGCTCAGTCTTCATTTTTTTTCTGGAAATCCTTTTATACTCCTGTAGCATTCAAAGGTTCTACATTTAGGCAAGAAAAACCAAATGTAGACAAGAAAAACCAAATGTACAGGTATAGTATAGGGGGTACCTTGCTCAATAGTAATAACTGTGAGAGGGATCTCGGAGTCCTAGTAGACAATCACTTAAATATGAACCAGCAGTGTGCTTGCAGCTGCCAAAAAAGCAAACACAGTGCTGGGCTGCATTAACAGAGGGATAGAATCAAGATCACATGAAGTATTAATACCACTATACAGTGCCTTGGTAAGGCCACACTTGGAATACTGCATCCAGTTTTGGTCACCGTGATGTAAAAAAGATGCTGAGACTCTAGAAAGAGTACAGAGAAGAGCGACAAAGATGATTAGGGGACTGGAGGCTAAAACATATAAGGAACGGTTGCTGCAATTGGGGATGTCTAGTTTAACGAAGAGAAAGACGAGGGGGGACATGATAGCAGTGTTCCAATTATCTCAGGGGCTGCCAAAAGAAGAGGGAGTCAAGCTATTTTCCAAGGCGCCTGAAGGCAGGACAAGAAGCAACGGATGGAAACTGATCAAGGAGAGAAGCAACTTAGAACGAAGGAGAAACTTCCTGACAGTTAGAACAATTAACCAATGGAACAACCTGCCTCCAGAAGCGGTGAATGCTCCAACACTGGAAGTTTTTAAGAAGAGACTGGACAGCCATTTGTCTGAAATGGTGTACAGTTCCTGCCTGAGCAGTGGGTTGGACTAGATGACCTCCAAGATCCCTTCCAACTTTATTATTATTATTATTATCCCAAAGTGCATAACTAAATGTCTATGGAGATTTTCAGTCATTCAAGTCATGGTTGTCCCAGAGGTGCTTTCTTTCAAAAGGCAACTGGACTTTCTTGTTTTGCTTCTCATCCAAGAAGTTTCTTCAGTTCTGACTGAATGGTGGAGAATGGAAGGATTTATATTCCTTGCAGTCATATGGTCATTAGTTCTCCCAAAGTGCACAGCTAAATGTCTATGGAGATTATCCATAGATAGACTACCTGGCAGAGGATATATCTAGGTCATGAAGCACTGTTATAAGTTTAAATTACACTAGAAACTGTTTCTCAACCTTGGCATTTTCAACTCCCAGAATTCCCCTTCAGCACTAAGAAACACTGTACTCTAAGTTGGTGAGAAAAAAGGACACATCAATGAAGATATATCAATATCAAACAATTGTTATTGTATGTAAAGATTGTCAAAAGAAGCATCCTGGCAACTTTAAGTGTAAAAGAAAGAGACAAAGAACTGGTTTTGATGGTTAATTGTCCATTAAATTCTCGTCAATAAACAAGGTGGCTTTAGTAAAGGAATGTCACAAGAGAATTTCAAATATTTGAGACCAGAATGACAATGCACTTATGTGATTGGCCTAGATCAGGAAAACCCAGATTTCAGTATAGAAAGGAGACATTTAAATTAGCAGGATATTTTAGAACTGTGGTCGCGAACCTATAGCATGCGTGTCAGAAGCGGCACTCAGAACCCTCTCTGTGGGCACATTGCCCCCACCCTACCTCCCCATGGAGTCGCCCCAAAGCGTAGCCCATACAGAGCTGTACAGCTAAGGACATGGCAGCTGGGCAGCAGGGATAAAACTCCGCCCTCGTGCCCCATCATGCACAGTTGGTGCTGCGGGGCGCGGGCGGAGGGCATGGCCGCCATGGCACTGCTGGGCTGCCTGGACAATCTGTGGTGGGCCATGGAGGTGGTGAGCGGCCCTGTGGGTGGGCGGGGTGGTGGGCAGGGCAGGGGACAGGGTGGGGGCAGAGCAGGCAGGACAAGGGCGGAGCAAGGGCGGTGGTGGAGCAGGATGGGGCTAGTTTTGGGGCACTCGGTCCCTAAAAGATTTGCCATCACTGTTCTAAAATATGAGCAGAGTCCATGTCAGGTCTGACAAAGTAAATCTTATCAAGAAACACTAAGTAATTGGAGACAGTTCAAATAATTGTTTTTAGTAAAACTATGAACATTGGACTATGCTGCAATCATGAAGTTCCTATGTTTTAGAGTTCCTTTACAGCAAAGACAGTTTAGTGAAACACCATAGACAAAGAAAATACTTTTGCAGCTGATAAGAAAAGAATGTGATCCAGTCTATACTTGCTCTAAAATATGACTGCCTGTTTAAGCTTGGTGCAAATTTTGCTGCTAAAAGCTATGGTATCTATAATATAAACAAATCTAAAACATTGTAAAATATTACAATAGTGGCCTTGTTACCTTCTGCTTCACCACACTCCTGGGTACTCCTCTCTTTAAGTTCCTTATGATTACTTCTTCCAAAAAAAGGATTGTTATGAAAATGGCAGGTACTTACCTAGCCGTTATGGCAAAAGGCAATGATACTTGATTTTAAATTCCAAAATTGGGAGTACAGCACATCTCTCTTCTGGCTTTGGTATATCTTCTCCATTTCTACAGCATACATATATCCTGTTTCAATGCCCTTCTTGTACGAGTAAACTTTTAAATCAATAGAACTATCCAAGCAAAGGACAGTGAATCATAGGACAGAGAAAAAATCCAGATGAGATGTAGCACTTAAGCTCTCACACATACTTCTAAATACTCTTTTCCTTCATCAGCAGATTCAAGAGAAAACTTCTCTGCTTCAACACCCTTCACTCCCTGGTCCTTTGACCAATATCTGGCGGACATATTGGCCTATTAGTTCATTGTTAGGCCAGGACCCCGCATTCGGTCACTCTCTTTTTCAGTTTGAGCCCTTCCTCATATGCCTCCCTTGTCCCTCAGTGTTTCTATGAAGGAAATATTTATGAGGGCAACACCATTTCTACCATCACCTTGTTCGTTGACTAATAATTGATGGCCATGATGGCCATATTGGCCTATTGCAGTGGTAGCAAACCTATGGCACGGGTGCCAGAGGTGGCACTCAGAGCCCTCTCTGAGGGCACACGTGCCATCGCCCCAGTCTTAGGCCAGCTGGGTTTTATAAAACCTTTTCACTTGCCGTGTGGAAAAAAAAAATCAATCAATCATGCAAAGTTGGAATTGATTGATTGAACTTTTTAGTCCAACCCAGTCTGCCATTACCACCCCAGCCATGCCTAGCCAATGGGCCACACCCACCCGGGACAATGCATAAGTGGGTTTTTGGTTGCAGTTTGGGCATTTGGTCTCTAAAAGGTTTGCCATCACTGGCCTATTGGTTTGTTTTTAGGTTAGAACCTGTCCTGAATCACCCTCTTCTCCCCTCAGCGTTGCCAGTGAGATGTCTTCTGACAGCCCCTTCAGGACCCCTGTGGTTCATTGTTAGGTCAGGACCCCACATTTGGTCACTCTCTTTTTCAGCTTGAGCACTTCTACATATGCCTCTCTTGTCCCTCAGTGTTTTTATTAAGAAAACATGAGGGAAGCTCCATTTCTCCCGCTGCTTTGTCCGTTGACCAATAATTGATGGCCATATTGGCCTACTGGTTCGTTTTTAGGCCAGAATCTCTCGTGAATCGCCCTCCCCTCCGCGTTGCCAGTGAGGCGTATTCTGACAGCCTCTGCCTCCCAAACCCCTTCAGGACCCCTCTATTCTCCCTGAGGGAGTCCTTCCTGCTGCTCCCCCTAACTTCTAGCGTCACCCTGCGAATGAGGTTTTGCGGTCCTGCCCGCCTCCCCTCCACCCCGCCTCTTTTGAGCGGGTTTAAAAAGCCGCTCCGTCTGAGGGAACTAACGGAAGCGAGAGAAAAAGTGAACCCGGATCAATACTGGGGGGGGGGGACAACAATAACCCAGCAGCCGAGCAACCTCGGCCTGAGGGAAACTGAGGAGAGCGCAGAAACCGCCGCTGCCGCCAAAAATCCCCAAACCTTCGAGTGGGCAATGGGCAGCCCAGTTTGCATAGTAACCGCAGTCTGCATAGCAACCGCATAGCAACCGCAACCGCCTTCAACCGCGCTGCACTCCCGTTGGCCAATCGTCCGCCCCCTCGGACCAATCCCGGCCCGGCTGCGGGAGGCGGGATCCTCGAGGAGATCCTCGGACGATTGGGCGGCTCGGCTGTCCTGCTTGAAGGCTGGGCGTGGGCGGAGTCGGAAGAGGGAGCCCCTCTCCCGAAGCTTTTGAGGGGTGAGTGGTGCAGGTGAGGCCGTGATGCGGGGTCCGCTCTGGATATCGGCGGGGGAATCTCCTACTCTAGTTCGGACGGAGCAAGCAGGCTGCCACTCCCTCTCTGCTCGCTGACACGTGTGGATCCGGAGTGACTGTGACTCCTCCCGGGGAGGCAGAAACGGCGCGTCCCCTGCTGCCCCTTCCCCGCCAGAGTCCCACCGCCTCCCGCCCCACCCTCGCTGTAGATCCAGGAAAGGAGCTCCAGTACTGTGATTAGTGTTTGCGTGTGTGTGTGTGTGTGTGTGTGTGTGTGTGTGTGTGATATCTATATCTGGATAGATATCTAGATAGCTATAGATATATAGAGAATATGTGTGTGTGTGTGTATTATACACACACACACACACACGTATACATAGAGAGAGAGAGAATGAATATGTGAGTGCATATATATGTATGGTTATATATTTATTGTCTTTTGAGAGCGGACGTCAGAATTTTCATTTTTTAAATGTGTGCCAGTGTGTTCACAGAAAAAAGTGGCAATAAAGATTAACAAATATTGCAGCCCTCCAGCCTCCCTGGAGCGCCACTTGGGAGCCTTGAAGCCGCTCCAAGCTGGAAGATGGCTGAGTTGGGGGAGTTGCTGTGTTGGATCTGCCCAACAGCCCCTCCGATATGAATGAAAAATACCCTCATTCATGAATCTTTTGTGTTCATAGTGGCTCTAAGGGATGGCTTGAAAGACAGGAGATTCTCAACAAGGAAGGAAGTTTCCAATACAGTGATGTTTATGGAGATTTTTGGTCATCCAAGTCACGGTTGTCCCAAAGGTGCTTTTTTTTTCCCCCAAAAAGGCAACTTCACTTTCTTTGTTTTTGCTTGAAGATGTTTCACTTCTCATCCAAGAAGCTTCTTCAATTTTTCCGAAGCTTCTTATGAAGAGACACAAAATGTCTTTAAGTAAAAACAAAGGAAGTCCAGTAGCCTTTTGAAAAAAAAAAGCACCTTTGGGACAATACAGTGATGGTCTTTTCCATTATTTACCTTGTAGGTTAGGAATACTAGGCAGCTGGTGCCTCAACAAGAGTCAAGCAATAAAGATGTTAAATTCTTCCTTACAATTTTTATGAAATTCTGGTCTTGAAAATAAAAGAATAAAATTCCAGTCCTGAGAACAAAAGAAGCTTGAAAGACTTACACTCTGAGTTGCAGCTGAGCCCAGAGGGAAAATGATCCAAGGAAAAGCAGCTTGGGAAGAACTGGCAGTTTGTGATTCTCTTCATATGGAAAACAGTGCAGTAATCCAAGGAAAGGCAGGACTGAAGATCCAGAATGAAGAAACAGTCATTTTCTGTGCAAAGAGACAGCCCTTCAGGGAGTTCCATTACCAAGATGCTGAGGGTCCCCGAGGACTCTGCAGCCGCCTGCATCACTTTTGCCATCAATGGCTGAAGCCAGAAAAGCACACAAAAGCCCAGATGCTGGACATGGTGGTGCTGGAGCAATTCCTAGCCATCATGCCACCGGAGATGGGGAACTGGGTGCGGGAATGCAAAGCCGAGACCAGTTCCCAGGCAGTGGCTCTGGCTGAAGGTTTCCTTCTGAGCCAGGCAGAGAAGAAGGAACAAGGAGAAATGCAGGTTGGTTCAAAGGGATGGGTAGGAAAATTATTCCAATCTTAAATATTTGAGGCATTTTTACATGGCACCGCCCAAATGCTTTTGAAGCAGAGTTGTTCTGTGTTCCCACATGTAACTCATGCCCTTCTTTGCTGCTCTCCACAGCTGCAGCTGGAGACATCCTTCCTGGAGTTAATCACAGAGGTTCCTGAGGCAAGAAAGGATCCAGTCAATCTTTGTCAGAACAATTTCCATGGGCAAATCTCTCCAAAGGATCTAAATCAGGACTTGTCTCCAGGTAAGGGAGGACTCTTTTTGAGGCAGTGAAGTTCTTCCTCAGAGGGTTTTCATTCCTGTTCTTATAAAGTGAATGGCCCTGTGTGCTTCAGTGATATTTGTTTCTATTTTACCTCTGAATTTATAAAGGATTCTTTTAAAAAAAATCAATTTCCTCCCATCTTTCAGTTGCAGAGGACAGAGTCATATACCAGCTGGTGGTAGAAAAAACATCTCTTTCTAATGAAGCAGAAACCAATGTTGGGCTTCCAGGGCAGGTAGGAGGAAAATTTCATGTGCCCCCAAAAGTGCAAATATGATTAAGGCAAGAAGTATCCATTTTATCTCTCTCCCCCCCCCCTCCCCTCCCCTCAAAGTCAACCTCTGTTCCAATGTGAGACCCTTTCCTCTTCTGGAAATCTACTTGGCTTGTCCTTCTCTTGATCAGCTGCTTTTGAATAAAAGCTGGAGCAGCTCTGGAGGATGGAAGGCAGAGCTGGAACTGATGGTTCGAGAATGAGTTTGTGATTTGGGCATCCAGGGGCACCGAGTCCTGGGAGGTGCAGTGAATTTAATCAACCTTTGGGACCCAGCTGGTACCAAAAGATGATGGAGAATGAAATCTTTCCCTGTAGCCCCTCACATTCTGAAACCAGCCAGGAAAACATTTGTGAATTTCACTGCTTCGTGGGTTTCTGAGAAAACTTTATTTTCCTCAGTTTTTCTATTAGTAAGAAACTTTTCCTTCCTCTTTCAGGGTCCCATATCCTTCAAGGAGTTGTTTGTCTTCTTTACGAAGGAGGAGTGGGACCTGCTGGATCCCAAAGAGAAAGCTTTGCATGGAGAAGTCATGCTGGAGACATCTTGGAATGTAGCTTCTCTGTGTAAGAATTCCTCTATCCAAATATGGTGTTTTTTAATTGGAAGCCATCTGTTTTATGGTTCCTTCTAAAGTATTCTGCGCCTGAGATACCAGGCTGGCCATTTGAATCTGTGAGCTACAATCCAGACAGCAAGTTTCAAATAGACAGTCTACCTGTTAATATTTGATGCTGATTTGTTGGAGGTGGTACGCTCTAGTCTTGGTCTTTACTGACCTTCAAGCATACGTATCTTCCATATTGGATGTTCTGTGTTCAACCTTTTGACTATGCAGTGCATTTAGCTTTGCATAGACTGACCAGTAGCTTTCAGGAAGGGAGATCTTAACAGGAGCTACACAGGTATGTATTCCTTTTTTCTACATGCTCTCATACTCGAGAATAGAGGTAGTCCTCACTTAAAAAGCCACCTGTTTATTTATGAGACTTATATACCACTTTAAGTGCAAGCACTCTCTAAGCGGTGTACACCAGTTAAGCAATGTATATATATATATATATTTACATTGCCCCCAACAATCTGGGTCCTCATTTTACCTACCCCGGAAGGATGGAAGGCTGAGTCAACCTTGAGCCGGTGAGATTTGAACCGCTGACCTGCTGAACACAGTCAGCTAAAGTGGCCTGCAGTACTGCACTCTAACTGCTGCGCCACGTCGGCTCAAGTTCAGCAATTCTTCAGAGTTACAATGGTGCTGAAAAAAGGTATGCTCAACCAGTCCCCAAAATGATGGCCATTGTTCTGCCCCCACAATCACATGATCAAAATCCACAATAGTTCCCACATACACAGCTATCTCTCCCCTTTATATCTTTTTGGCCCCTTGTACTCTGTGGCCCCTGCCTCCCTAGATCATCCTTGCTGTCTTCTTGCTCCCACTGCTGGCCAAGCATAGCCAACGTGGTCCTTTACAAAGTAGCTGCTGGCTGTATAAGGCCTTCTCCAGGTTGTGCACAGCTATTTCCTCCTGAGACCTAAAGAAAATGGCCTCATATGCCGGCAGGCACCTTGTGAAGAGCTGAAAGTTGATAGTGGTTTTGATTCTTTAATTTGGAGCAAACGTGTCTGGGGATTCATGATGGGGGATACAAAATGATGCACTGCATAAAAGATATAAATTTAAAAAATGTTTCTTACTCAGGGTATTAGAACTTGGGTTTCCTCCATTAAATGTAAACATTTGATTGATTGATTGATTGACTGACTGACTTACAGACTGAGAACACATAGATTTTCTCCATATGATCTGGATTTTGAGGTCTTCTGGCCATACACTCATTGCCACTATAAATAAATCCATCCACTTTATTATGGTTGTACTTTTCTTCATGCGAAGAAGACTATAACCTAATTTTCCAGCAGCAGACCCAGGTTTTTGCCTATGTCTGAAATAGAATAATTTGAATCTGGTTGTTTGTATTGTTTGATTTCTTGGTTGCCCATGATATTTTCATGAGTCTTTTCTATGAGAAAGAGAAGAAACAATTTTTTTTTCCACTGTTTTTTCTCTCTCTCAATCAGGCAATGAGAAGAAGATTTACCAGGAACCAGAAGACACACTTTTACAGGTTTTTAAGGTTGAAGTGGGAGAAGAAACCTTCTCAAATCATTGGCAACCAAAAAGTGAAGATGGAATCCAATTAAATAATCAACAGGAAATGAACCATCCCCCTTTATGTCTGGAAATCTATGATTTGCTGACCCAAGATGATCTTAATAGAGAGAGGATGGGGCAGTATTTAGGCTTTGATAAAATATTTGAAGAACAATCAAACTTCTCTCACCCATGTGAATGGACACAGGAAAGGAACAGGTATGGTCAGAATTCCCCATCTTATTGGGGGGATGAGATGGAGAAAAAAACATTAGAATGTAAGGATTGTGAAAACAACTACCTCCGCAAACCTATTTCCCATAAAAAGAATCACTTTGAAGAGAATCCATACAAATGTATCATTTGTGGAAGGAACTTTGCAAGGAATGATAAATTTATCACCCATTTAAGGATTCATACAGGGGAGAAACCATATAAATGCACAGAGTGTGGAAAGAGTTTCACAAGGAACGATAAACTTATTGCCCACATTAGAGTTCATACAGGGGAGAAGCCATATAAATGCACAGAGTGTGAAAAGAGCTTCACAAGGAATGATAAGCTTGTCAACCATATCAGAATCCACACAGGGGAGAAACCTTATGAATGCTTGGAGTGTGGAAAGAGATTCACAAAGAGTACAGATCTTACTTCCCATAAAAGGATCCACACAGGGGAGAGACCCTACAAATGCACAGAGTGTGGAAAGAGCTACAGTCACTCTAGTAATCTGAGCACCCATAAGAGTATCCACAAAAAGGAGAAACCACATAAATGCACGGATTGTGGAAAGAGCTTCATAAGGAGCACAGATCTTACTTCCCATAAAAGGATCCACACAGGAGAGAAACCACATCAGTGCATGGAGTGCAGTAAGAGCTTCACTCACTACAATACGCTTACTTCCCATAAAACCATCCATACAGGGGAGAAATCATATAAATGTATGGAATGTGGAAAGAGCTTCAGGACAAACAGTTCCCTAACTTCCCACAAAAGGATCCACACAGGTGAGAAGCCATATAAATGCATGGAGTGTGGAAGTAGCTTCAGGACAAGCAGTTATCTTACTTCCCATAAAAGAATCCACACAGGAGAAAAACCCTATCAATGCCCGGATTGTGGAAAGAGCTTCAATCTTTCTAGCACCTTTGCTTTCCATAAAGCGGTCCATACAGGGGAAAAACCCTATCAGTGCATGGACTGTGGAAAGAGCTTCAATCATCCTAGCACCCTCACTTCCCACAAAAGGACCCACACAGGAGAGAAACCCTATCAATGCACAGAGTGTGGAAAGAGTTTCAGTCACCCTAGCACCCTCACTTCCCACAAAAGGATCCACACAGGAGAGAAACCTTATCAATGTGTAGAGTGTGGAAAGACTTTCAATCACTCCAGCAATCTTGCTTCCCATAAAAGGATCCACACAGGGCAACGAAAATATAAGTGCCTAGCATGTGGAAAGGGTTTCACTCAGAGTTCTCACCTTATTTCCCATCAAAAAATCCACAGTGAAGATTAACTATACAAATGCATAAATGGCGGTAAGAGCTTTCATTTTTGGGGTCTGATCTGATCACCCATGAAGGAAATGGCAAGGAAAATTAACTGGAGTGTGTGATGATTCATTTTAGTTTCCCTCAAAAAGGAGATATCTGCATATATTCGCTTCTGATTTTCTTATCTGATCGCACCTGGCTTTTGAGGATGAACAATATCCTATGTTTCAAATAGTGGTTGTGCTCAAGAGGAAATCAAAATTTGATTTTTCAAGCAGTATGAACATCAGCATATTAAGAATATACATTTTCTCTTTAGTATTTTTAATGATTTTTCATGTTAAGTATTACAAGTGAATTTTGAGAGCCACATTCAAATTTTTCAAGGGCCCACTGGGATCCTTCTCTGCCTATGAGAGTGCAGTTTACTCTGAGCTCTCAGATGATAGGTTTGATTCTGGTTTGAATTTTTTTTTTCTCCCAAATGATGTACCCATTACCTTATACATACTATTTTAATGAAAGATGTTATTAAATGTAAATAAAAACCTAACAGAAACTAATATAAAGTAAAAAAAATAGAAAAATCAAAGAGAAAGTTAAAAGTGCAAGAACAAAAGAAAAATTGAAAAATGAGACATAGAAGACGTTTCCTCTTTTTTCCTCCCTTTTCACTCTCCTTCCCTTCTTCCTATCATGCTGGATGCTGACAGGTGGGGGGCAGGATGCGAGTGGCCAAGTGCGAAGGGACTGGAACAGGGTGTCTCATTTTTCCATTGAACTCGCTGCAAGTTTCCCATAATAACTTTGCTAATGGAAAGGTGACAAGGAGCATCAGCTATCATATCAGCTACTACCAAGCTCCCTGTGGACTCGTGGGAAGCTGTCGGGGAATATTGAAAAGGAAGATCATGTCACTGCAGCTGACCATGGTAGCACTGAAAAGCAGTGCAGTGGCACTGAAATGACAGATTTCCCCTCAAATTTAATTCCCTTGGAAGTAATGGGTCTTGACATTCTGTAAATTAGCCCATATGAGAAACCATTGTTGACAAAGCTTTGGCCTATGACGCAGCGTATCACCCAGTTGTGTTTTGCCATTTCAGGTGTGGCTCGGTATGAATAACAACAGTCCAGGTATTTGCCTTGATATACTTTTACACGTTTATTCAGCTGAATAAAGACAGGTCCCTCTAAGGAAGAGGGAACCCTGAACACATTTTGACACTCATATTTCTATGTTTGCTACATTGTCCATTTCTCCACCCAGAACCATTGGCACACTCCACCCAGACAAGTTGGCAGACTTTAGATAAGCTAAAGAAGTACAAAAATAGTCATTTGCCTCCCTTGAAGGTTTTCCAAGGACATTAGGTGTTATCTCAGGTGTTTCCCAAGGAATTTCCCATGACCTTGAAGGCCTGCAAAGGCAATGATGATATAGTCACATATGCTCCTTCACGGCTGTCAACAGAGACACTAGATTCCTGGTCAACAGTTGAAGGTTACAAAGTATCAGATGTGAGAGTTTTAGTAATATACTAGACTGTTAAAGTCCGTGTGATGGCTCAGCAGTTAAAGATACCAAGCTGATAGCCAGGGTTTGAGACCTGAACGTTGCATGATGGGATGAGCTCCCACTGATTGCCCCACCTCCTGCCCACCTAGCAGTTTGAAAGCATGCAAATGTGAGTAGATTAATAGGTACCACTGAAGTGGGAAGGTAAAAGCATTCCATGTGCTTTTGGCATATAGCCATGCTGGCCACATGACCATGAAAATGTCAACGCTGCAAATATTGTATATTCTTGCTTTTGACAATATGCAGAACTGTCTGGTATGTATGGGGTTAATACAGAGCAGAAGGGGGGCTGGGGGTAAAGCCCGGGAAAGAAAGAGGAAGGAAACCTTTGACCTTCACACTAATTGGATAATGTGATATATGACGGCTAATTTAGGGAGGGAACATGCTGATAATTTAACTGTTCAGAGGAAGAGAACTTAGATCTTAGCATCCTCTGTTATGCCTGTGCCAACATTTTGTAACAATAAATGACTTTTAGGAAAATAAATGCCTGGAAGTCCTGCCTGGAAGTTCTTTGAAGTGTTTCATTAGCCAGAACCATAACAAATGTATTTGGACAACACTGGTTTCCTCAGCCAACAAACAGAGATGAGCACTATGCCCTAGAGTTGGACACAACTGGACAGGGAAACCTTTACCTTTTTTAAAGATTGTTATTGGTTGTGTTATAATTTCAGAGACATTTTCTTACCTAAGCAAACTGAATGACTAAGGACAAAAAAAGTGTGATTTGCAACATCCTGCTAGCTTGACTGCGTCTGACTGCCTTCCAGCAGACAATGGTGGGGTCACTTCATCTGGCATCCAGAGGACTAGGATCGGACCAATCTACTGAATTTCTAGATGGCAAAGTGGCAGCACTGATGTAACCACACATTTGCCAAATTTCAATGCCATAGAAATCATGGGTCCCGGATTTTGGATGCATTCTATAAGTTAACCCATTTGAGGAACCTTAGTTAAAAAGGTTTTGCCCTACAATGCACCATTTTGTCCAGTTACAAGTTACAGGCAAGAGTTTTTGTAGTATATATATATAATGTCTTTTCTCTGATTAAAGAAGTCAATTTGGCCATCTCAGCAACCATTTTCTCATTTTCAGCAACCATTCTTCTATTATAGGTAGTCCTGAAACTTTCTATCTTTGTGCATAGTCCTGCTGCAGTTATCGTACCAAAAAAAAAAAAAAAAAAATCATGACTTTTTCCAACTATTTATAGATCATTCCTAAAAGAAAAACCTGTGGTTTCAATTGTATATTAATAATTAAAAACTTTGAAATTAATGTATGTATTTAAATCCAACATTTTCTAGATTTCTTATGCGTCCACCAAAGGTGATAAAATGTCCTTTTTTGTCGTTTAGATTTCCAACATAATGATGTGCCTTTATGTATTTTAGATCAGACATGTCAAACTCGCAAAGTCACATGACGTCGCATGACCTATTGGAGCTTTTTCCCCATTGTTGGCAATGGGGTAGGCGCGGTTTCCTTGTGATGCGTCCTACCCACGGGCCAGCAATTTGACACCCCTGTTCTAGATAATTTCTGGTGACCTACCAGTGGTACGTTATCTTATTTAAAAAGTTAAGATTATAACATAATGGAAATTTAAATCCTTTGAATCATATTTTCCCATTGTTCCATCTATGTTGTAACCAATATTTTAGCCCATTTTATCCTGTATTACTCATTCTTCCATTTTGAATTTCAATAAAAGTTTATACATTTTAGCAATTACACGTTCATCATTTGTGCACAACTGTATTTCAGACTCGTTCTTCAAATATTCAGACCCGTAAATTCTTTTGTGTACTTTAAATCAGGGGTCTCCAACCCTCTGGTCCACGGCATGCCAGAAACCGGTCCGCACAAACAAGCAAAGCCCCATCCGCGAGATGCAGGCAGCACATGAAACCACGCCCCCTTCGGTTTGTGGAAAACCCCCTCTCCATGGAACCGGTCCCTGGTGCCCAAAAAGTTGAGGGCTGTGGCTTTAAATCATTCTTTTTCAAAGTGTGTTTCCTCAGTGTTTCATAAAATTAGTTTTAGAAATAATTATTTCTATATGTCTTGCAATTTGCTTGCACTTGAAGCCAAACAATGAGTTCCTTCTATAAAATTGTTGGAAAAATTTAAAACGTGCAAAGGCCCTGCTTAGTCAGTTTGTTTATGCAGATTAAAAATAGGAAAGATTACAATGTTTGTTGAATGTTCATAATGTTGCCTTTTTAAACGTACTGATTATGGTTAATTACAGGTACTCCTTTGACTTTCAAACAAGAATTGTGGTCATAAGTCGAGCCACCCACATGACCGGAAGTAATTTTCCAGCCTTTTTCACTGCAGTTCAGTGAGCATGGCGGTCATTAAGCAAAACTCATTCATGCAGTTATGGGATTGTTGAGGGTGAATGTGATGGACAGCATGACTATTTACAATGGCTGAAGGTGCTTTATGGCTGCAAAGAACCCATTCTGGCTCCATCACAGCTTTGAACAATTGTTAAAATGACCAGCCTTTAAGCGAGGACTATTTTTAATATGTTTAGGAGGTGGATTTCGAAATGAATAGGATATGGAAAAACCTTCCCAACACTGCAGTGATTTCATTGCATACAAGGAAAAATATTCAAAAATAAAATATGGAAAGAGGCCGATATCAAATCTTCAGTAGGATGCAAATCCAAGGTCAAGACCTAAAAATGCATGGAATGAAGAAAAAGCTGCAGTTATAGCAGGATTCCTGAACAGGCATGAAATCCCAAGCCCTTTGCAATCAATCGCCAAGATTCAAACGTCCAAGATAGATGGAAATGGGTGCTTGCTTGACAAGGGGCTTCTGAGGAGGGCGGTAGTGGTTGGAGGATTATGGTGGGGATTTTCCTGGGGTTTATGTTCTGCTCCAGTTTTCAGCTTTATCCAGCTTTATCCAGTCCTTTGGGGCTGCTGCCAGTGGGTAGCTTGGTGGGCAGCGGTCGAATGCTGCATGAGAGGGCAGCCAATATGAGCAAGCTCAACCCTGCTCAGCTGAGCAGTGGATAACAGAGTAACAGAGATTGAAGAGACTTTGAAGGTCTCCTAGGATGAAGGAGCTGGAGAGGCAGACAACCCAACAATGAAGGAAGGAGAGCAAGAGGCTAACAACAGCAGCGAGCGAGAGAACAAGCAAGTGGCAGTAACAATAGACAACCAGCAGCCCAGACATAAGTCCAACTAAGCGGCAGGGGTCACCTCACAAGATCGTTGGAGCCCCCGGAACAGGTTAAATGGGAGAGTAGAGTAGAGTAGAGTAGAGTAGAGTAGAGTGGGAATGGGAATGGGAATGGGAATAGAATAGAATAGAATAGAATAGAATAGAATAGAATAGAATAGAATAGAATAGAATTAGAATTAGAATAGGGTAGGGTAGGGTAGAGTAGGATAGCATAGGATAGTATAGGACAGAACCTTGGAGGTCTTCTAGTCCAACCCCCTGCTTAGGCTAGAAACCCTATACCATTTTAGACAAATGGTGGTCCAATCTCTTCTTAAAAACTTCCAGTGTTGGAGCATTCACAACTTCTGGAGGCAAGTCGTTCCATTGATTAATTGTTCTAACTGTGAGGAAATTTCTCCTTAGTTCTAGGTTGCTTCTCCCCTTGGTTAGTTTCCATCTGTTGCTTCTTGTCCTGCATTCAGGTGCTTTGGAGAATAGGTTGACTCCTTCTTGTTTGTGGCAGCCCTTGAGATATTGGAACAATGCTATCATGTCACACCCCACTCCTTCTCTTCACTAAACTAGACATCCCCAATTCCAGCAACTGTTCTTTATATGTTTTAGCCTCCAGATTCCTGATCATCTCTGTTGCACTCTGCACTAGAGCAGAGGTGTCTTAGGAACCACTGGGAGGAGGTCTGAGGGTAAGAGCCTTCTAAGGGTAAGAGCCCTGGAAAGGACTTACCAGCTTACTTGAGAACAGTTTGATCCTGTTGGAACTGATGAACTGGACAGGGTCCCTCTTCAAGAGGCTGGTGCTGGACTCCATCATTCTGGATAAGAATGCCCAAGTTGGCTTTAAGTCTGAACATACAGTCAGCCAGATTCTACCCTGCACTTACAGTATATAGAATAACAGAGTTGGAAGAGACCTTGGCGGTCTTCTAGTCAACCACCTTTTCAAACAGGAGACACTATATCATTCTGAACAAATGGCTGCCCAATCTCTTCTTAAAAGCCTCCAGTGATGGAGCACCCCTACTTCTGGAGGCAAGTCGTTCGACTGATTAGTTCTAGGTTGCTTCTCTTCTTGTCCTGCCTTCAGGTGCTTTGAAGAATAATTTGATCTCCCTCTTCTTTGTGGCGGTCCCTCAAATATTGGAAAACTGCTATCACCGCTAGTCCTGCTTTTCATTATACTAGTTTCATTAATCCATTTCATTATCCTCTCAAGGCATCTGACAATAGCCCAGACATGTCAAACACAAGGCCCAGGGGCCGAATGCGGCCCACAAAGTGGTTTCATGTGACCCGCAAAGCCATCCTGGAAACAGTGGGGAACGTCCCCCACTGCCTTGGGCCTGGCCCAGGCCAGCTGGGAGCCAATTTTGTGGTGGCCATCTATGCTGAAATGCATTCAGTCTTAGCTCCATAAGCCCCCCCCCCCGCATGGCCTGAGAGGAACAGTGAGCTCCTCCAGTGGACCATGCCTTGGCACTTGCCCTGGTCCCACCCCCTTGTGCCAGAGACCCTCAGATCTATCCCACTCCTACCCAGGCCCCCACAGGCACCCTTGAGGCGAACGATGTAGAGCTGGACACAACCACCCAGTAGGCCACACCCACTAAATCCACACCCACCCAGTAGGCCGCATCCATCCTGGCCACACCCACCCAGCCCCGAGGGCAATCACAATGCTGTTGCGGCCCTCAATGAAATTTGAATTTGACACCCCTGCAATAGCCCACTGAACAGGTGATACATAAAATGTCTGTGGAGATTCTCAGTCATCCAGGTCATAGTTGTTCCAAAGATGCTTTTTCAGGAAGCAACTGGACTTTCTTGTTTTTCTTTGAAAACATTTTGCTTCTCATCCAAGAAGCTTCTTCAGCTCTGTTTTTCCTTTGAAGACATTTCTCTTCTCATCCAAGAAGTGTTCGAAGAAAACCAAGAAAGGCCAGTTGCCTCATGAAAAAGCATCTTTGGGTAATACACAAAAATGGGGTAAATACTTTCGGTAATACATAATACATAAAAGGATGTATGTGTTGATTTGTGCATACAGGGACACAGAATGATTTTAA